TTTTTACAAAGTAAGCCCAGTTAGTGAAAATTATTTTATGCTCCCTTGCCACTATACCAACAAAATGAAATCCAAGTTGCTGCATGATGTGACTTGAAAACCATTTGTGCTGAAATGACTGCCAGGAAATGGATGGAAAATCTTTATCCTGAAGAAACACTCAAATAAAATGCTAGCATAATCTGAAAATGTTCACTGAAAGTGAGAGTTGGGTTTTTAAAAATTCTCAATCTCTTCAGCTGATCCCAGTATAAACAATTTAGTGCATTAGCAGAGAAACTGATTTTTTTCCCCTTAGTTTGAGCAAATCTGAAAAGAATATTATTTTTAAAGGAAAAGAAAGCAAAATAAAACAATTTTGTTTGCATTCCAGGGAGGAAAAAAGTCAGCAGCTTTGCCATCTAATCTAAACCACACGTTTTCGAAAAGGCTACTATGAGTGTTTTACAAACACTAGTCTCTTGACAGTTTTGCTTCATTTTTTTGGAGTTAGGTCATGATTTAAAATCTTGACCATCGCAGCTTGGGCTAGACACTGTGATCACAATTAGATGTGTTCATCTCACTTTGCTTTCTGATACCCAGCAATTCATAGATATTTCCTTTCTTTAAGGCAATCAGCTGGCATTGAAGAGGCATGTTAACAGATTCTGAATACTAACTGGCTTATTTTTTTTTTTTTAAATAATGTAGCCGCTATCATTTTCATGTGTGGCTCCTAAGAGACACCTGTCCCTCTGTATAGAGAAAGTTTTGCCTACGCTAGAATGTAGTGTCCATTTTGCTGAACCACAGAGAAAAGCTACAGTTCATTTACTTATCCATTTAACTCTAAAATTACATAACTATATCAACCCCTCTTCTCCCTTCAACCCTCGCTGCATCTCTTGTTATCACAAAGCCTATTCAAAAAGTTCCCAAGAGCCAAGACCAACAGCAAGACAATCTAACTTCATATGAAACTGAAAGACTGATTCATTCTTCTCCATCCAAGAAAAAGCCCAGACATGATTCTTTCTAGTGCTGTTATTTCAGACCTGTATCACTTCTTGGTTTGACCACAGCTGGGACTAGTATTCTGACCCCTAACCATGTGTCATGTTATCCTGAACATTTTATTCATTTACTGGAGGAGGTATCAAGAGATTTTTTCTTTAAATGACAGCACGATGCCCAGGGGACTGACCTGCCAGAAGAATTCTTTAGCATTGTAGAAGTAACTGGCTACCACAGAAAAACTGCTTTGAAGTTACTCATTTGCGGCACCCAATGAACTAGAGCTGTGTCAATTCTTTTTACTGGATTACTTTCATGGCAAGCTCTTTTTGTCCCATCTGAAGAGTTCCTTTGTGACCAAAGAATGTGGATGTATCTTGGGACTGATCTGATACCTCAAAAGATGGTTCTTGTAGCTTATCTTGCTGTAAGCTCTCTGCTGAAGGAAATGATGCAGAGCTCTCATGTCACTGGATCAGAATGCTAGCTCCTACAATGTATTTCTATCATCTGACTGTGCATGCTATTGCTTTTATGTATGGTATTTCAACCCATACCCCTACAGTGTAGGAATTTTATTAAATTGACACACTGCTAAAGGGATCTTGGTTACCATATTTTACCGTTCGAGAAAGGAGCATTCCCCTCAAAGACTGAAACTTCAGGCCGCATCTTGGTCCCACTGAAGTCAATGGAAGTTTTTCCATTGACTTACAAGGAAGGGGCTACAAATTGGACCTCATTGCATTAAGAACCAATAATTTGCCCAAAGAGATGTGGTGGGGTGCGGGTATAAAAGTTTTAGTCATGGAATTTTAATGGAAGAAACAATGCATAACAAATGACACAGCACATCACCGAACCACAGATAAAGTTCATCTAGACTAAAATGTGTTAGCTAACACGTACTCAGTAATGTGTATTAAACAACAGTTATTACCTAGACAGTGATGTTTAAAATCATGTGAGATAGTCCTGTTATAAACAAGGATCCCCACTAGGTTACAGCATAATCAGCCACTGTGATTTTAAAGGCACTAAACTACATCTATGCTCGGTGCTAAGCAGTGTTTCCAATTATGTTAGGCCTGTTCAACACTTGGAAGCTTTATCGGTATCACTATTTGATTGAGGGATATGATTTACCAAAATAATTATACCAGTAGAAACCCTAGTGTGGACACCATTATACCAGCATAAAGGTGCTGGTATAGCTTATTCTTCTTTCCGGGAATAAGCTATACTGGTATAAGCACTTCTATACTGGTACAATAGCATCCACTCTAGGGGGACTGTACCACATTAACAATGTAAGTATAGTTAAAGTGGTACAATTTTTATGTGTAGACAAGCTCCTAATCTAGACAGACCCTTTGTCTACAGTAAGGGCTGAATCGTGTTTAAAACCATGTAAATACATATTAGCTAATGGGTTTTTAACATCACCCATTTTAGCACTCTGGACAAACCAAATATTAAATGTCACCTCTTTCTGTTTCACCCAGGAGTGCTGACAATGGGCTAACACAGGCAGGTTTCAATGCATTCTTGCTTTAGCAAATGAGTTCTGTTCCTTGGGCTTCTGATCCTTTGCTTCTATTCCTCTGGCAGAATTCTTGACTACAGAAGAATCCTTGATTAGCTTAGTACATGGCTTTTCCCTTGTTTTATAGACTATTTTAAAAAACCCTACTGGCAGGCTCAGCAACTCCTCACAATTTCAGATCGATGCAGTTTCCATTTATGGTTCAGTGGAAAGAGATACTGGGGCTGTGACTGTTTCTGATTGATCACTGGACATATAAACAGCTACTGCAAGTTCAAAGAGAACCCATCACACCCCCCCCCTTTAATACTTCCAAGAGTCTGATCCAGTGCCCACTGATGTCAGTGGAAAGATTCCTACTGTCTTCAGAGGACTTTGGATCAGTCCCTAAGAGACGTTCTACAGGCAATGAAAAAAAAAAACCAAAAAACCAGCACAGCGACTTGCTAGTCTGCACATGTCTGAAATGCAGACGATACTTCCCTCTGTTTAAAAACATGATGATATGATTTTCTGTTTCTTCCAGTCTTCATTCATGCTGAAGCAGGAAACCAGACTAACATTCTGTCATGCTTTACAACTGTGGTAGGGCTCTTGCAGTTAACTAATTATATTGTTACAGGCTGGGTGAAATCTTGTTATAGGTGGAGTTAAAATCTCTTTAAACTGATGTGTGAATGACTTCCCCATTTAAGAGAGATCAGGTGGGTGAAGAGTGATATATTTTATTGGACCAACTTCTGTCCCGAAGAAGAGCTTTATTTTAGCTCAAAAGCTTGTCTCTCTCACCAACAGAAGCTGGTCCATTAAAAGATATTACCTCACCCACCTTGTCTCTCTCATATCCTCGGACCCACATGGCTACAACACTGCATCCCCCATTTAAATCAGTTGTACTAAGAGGTGGTTAAGGGGCCACATCTAAAACAAGGCCTAATAGAGTCTGTCCAGAAACTAGTACCAGTGGGTGGAGGGTTTAACTGGGTATTCTAACCAGGTGGAGGCATAGGGAGTTTGAGAGAGGAGACACAGAAAATGTGAACAGGTAAGAACAGACTGAGTGGGAGAGAGAGCCTGAGGGAGAGGCTGAAAAAGCATATCTGACCCTGGGGATAGGTTTTTTGGGTCAGGGATGCAGGCTGAAAAGACTTTGGTGATGTGAGCAAAAGAAGCTATTTCCTGCTATTTGATCCCCTCTGAGTTCACAAATGCAGGATTTTGTCCATTCTTTGCGCATAAACAAAACTGCATGAAAGAAATACCTATCACCAATTTCTACTCCCAACTGGAACATCCACAGGGCCCCGCATTTTGATTAGCCGCACAGGACAAAAAGGGACAACAATAGCAATGGATTACTTTTTATCAACGAGATCCGGATGAATGTATAAAATAAAATATGTAAATATAATGTATATTACTTTCAGTTTCTTTCCTTAGCAATCCTACCTTTCCTGTCCTAATTATAAGTGACACTGTCCTAGTATATATGGCACTCAGGACGGCAAAGGGAAACAAGAGAGCTAACAAGCAGAACACAAAACCAAACTAAAACTGCTGTGAGAAACTACTAATAATACCTAACAGGTAGCACATTTACTCTTCAGTGCATTTATAATCACTCACTAATTATCACAATTGAGAAGTATGGGAGTAAGAAGTATAATCCACATTTACACATATGGAAAAATGGCAAGATTAAGTGTGGGATTTTCAAAAGTACCAATATGATTTAGGAGCAAGACAATAGGACTTGTTCTCTTAAATAACTTCAGCACTTTTGAAAATAATACCATAATCGGATGGCCCAAGGCTATATACAGAGAGAGTCAGTATAACAGCTGGAATTAGAACTTGGGAGCTCCCGGCACACTATCCTATACTTAAACAACCAGTCCATGCCTCAGCCCCACTAATCAGTCATTATGCAATCTTGCCCATATGCTCAGGGTTCAGCTGATTGCCATATTTGGGGTCGGGAAGGAATTTTCCTCCAGGGCAGATTGGAAGGAGCCCTGGGGGTTTTTCGCCTTCCTCTGTAGCATGGGGCACGGGTCACTTGCTGGAGGATTCTCTGCACCTTGAAGTCTTTAAACCATGATTTGAGGACTTCAGTAGCTCAGACATAGGTGAGAGGTTTATTGCAGGAGTGGGTGGGTGAGATTCTGTGTCCTGCGTGTGCAGGAGGTCGGACTCGATGATCATAATGGTCCCTTCTGGCCTTAATATCTATGAATCTATTAATCTAATTCAGAACCAGTCATCAGTAATAGATTACTTTTACAGAGTAACCAAAGCAACTACTCAGTCCTAATTGGAAAGCTATTTTTCTTCACACACATGTGCTCTAAAATGGAGAGGGTTTAAAAGCACAGTTATAACTCTCAGGATCCACTGACTATAATAACATAGGGAACAGAGCATATTAGTGAGGGTAAAATAACATTCTGAAACTTACCACTGAGGTAAGAGCCATCTGAAAACTATAGATTCGTGCAAGGCCAAAGTCAGCTAATTTTATCTGCCCACTGCTTGTCACGAGGATATTTTGTGGTTTCAGATCACGGTGCACCACTCGGTGTGAATGTAGAAAATCCAGCCCTCGCAACAGCTGAAGCATCATGTCCTAAGCACAAACAATAAATAGTAATCAACACATGGTGACAAATAAACAAAGTCTCACATCTTCAAAATGAAGTTAAATAACTATTGACTTGAATATGTGCACAAGAGACAAAAGTGCCTATTAGACAGGATGTTGCTAGAGCCAGCTGATTTGAACAGATATACTTGCCAAGGTAATTATCATTTCTAGTTGAACTATTTGAACAAATTATTTGATGTTGATAAACAGAAGTGCGAAGACCGATCAAAACATGTTAAAGAAATTATAGATAAAAATGCTGTATTGTAGCAAAAGCATGCCCATAAACCCCCAAAACAACTTCAAGAGCAAATTATCTAGGTTAGAGGCTGGCAAAACAGCTGTTCTGCACTCAGTTTCAAGTCACGTAGGACATAACTGAAGGAGAAGAATTCCCATCAAATAAATGTGTTCCTGGTCCTGCCTCACTGAAGTCAATGGGAGCCTTAGCATGGACTTCACTGGGCACAGGATTGGGCTCTATATGAGAATATTAAATCTTAGCTAATTGGCACTGTCAAAATTGTAGTTTTATATTCAATCTACTGTATAAAACTTACAAAATATGTCAGGGTCTATCTTTTGCTCTGTGTTTGTGTAGTGCCTGGCACAAAGGGATCCTGGTCCATGACTAAGGCTTCTATGCACTACGGCAGGGGTAGTCAACTATTTTTTTTGTCAAGGTCCAAATTTCTTGGTCTCAAGGTCTAGTCAAGGACCTTGAGACCAAGGACTCCAGAGAAAATAATAAAAAATAACAACAATAATGATGATAATTAGTAAATAAAAAGATTTCAGGGCCTGTTCAAAAGCGTCTGGTGGTCTGGATTTTGGCTGCGGTCCATCTATTGACTACCCCTGCACTACAGTAACACAAATAATAAGGTTTCACTTTTTTGCTTTCCATATAACACAGTTATAGTGACACAATATTTTATAACATTTTCAGTGTTAAAAAGAAACTTTTCTATTGGTGTTCATTAGGCGTTGTTTTACAACAGTCACAATAATACAAAAGCAAGGAATCAACCAACAAATACTTCTCAAAACACAAACACTAGAAATCCAAGAATTTAAAAATTCAAGAGAAAACATCAACAACATCAAAAATCACATCTGAAAACTGTGTACCTAGCATTGCTATAGGTAATTTCTAAGGTCACTAATAAGTAAAAGGAATAAAAGAAAAATTTCTCTCTCAATTTTTTCAGGTTCTTTATTTTGTGCATTTGACAGCAGTTTGTGTAGTCAGTTTCACTGTCTTGGTGGTCCTATATGCCCTTCCCCAGGCCCTGCACAAGGGTATTTACCACAGACATTAGCAACAAAACTGAAACTGAAGAAGTAGATGGAAGGAACGTACAGAGACAAAGGGGAGGAGAGGTGAGCTGAGCATGCTTTGTGTTGTTGCTCTGGGGTCCACCCAAAAGACCCTTCCAAACATCATCGGGGAGCAACCCCCCCCAACCCCCCCGGACATTTAAAACAAAGGATACAAAACTTCAGCGCATAACTGCTGAAAGGTAGTACTATCAGAAAATTACAATGATGATACCATCCCCAATTACCACATCTCCACCAACAGTCATAAGAAAATAGAATAATCAAGCTAGAAACCCCACAAGGGACAAAACCACACTCTTGACCATTATACTGATGGCTTCAGGAAAAAAAACTGACTGTGAAATTCTTAACAAACTGTTAGGATATAGATATTCAGGCCTATAAAGGTTTGTAAAGGCCTATAGTCTAAGAATTTAGGTGTATTCTTATCACTTGGCTAGTTACAGAGGTATAAAAGAAAGAATCAAAATCACTGTCTGCCAGTGTAAGGGCCTTCTCTTATTGTGACAGTCTGAGGCCCTGTTCTTAGGCTAAGGCCTTTGGCTAAGCAACAGAGGCAGCCATAAGCTGGGAAGTGAACGGTCACATCCTCACATTTCAAACTAGTCACATTGAAAGAAGGTGCTATTGGGCTCTTAGGAATACAATCCTGTCCTGATAGTGCCTATCACCTCCAGAGAAAGGGAAGTGCCTAGAAATGTAAAAGGAAACTTAGCTTGATAGCATCCTGTCTGGCAAGAACTCACTTATCAATAGCTGGGATGTGAAATCCTCACTTCTGTATTGTTTTGTCATTATAGTTCCTACTTTGCTATTGTTTGTCTGTATAATCTCAGTCTGGTTCTGTGATTGTTCCTGTCTGCTGTATAATTAATTTTGCTGGGTGTAAACTAATTAAGGTGGTGGGATATAATTGGTTACATAATCATGTTACAATATGTTAGGATTGGTTAGTTAAATTTCAGGAAAATGATTGGTTAAGGTATAGCTAAGCAGAACTCAAGTTTTACTATATAGTCTGCAGTCAATCAGGAAGTGAGGGGGTGGCGGTGGGTGGGAGTGTGTGTGTGGGTGGGGGAAATGGGAACAGGGAATGGGGGTAAGGAAACTGGAATCATGTTTTGCTAAAGGGGGAAATTGGAACAGGGAATGGGGAGTGGGGAAATTGGAATCATGTTTTGCTAAAGGGGGAAATGGGAACAGGGAATGGGAGTGGGGAAATTGGAATCATGTTTTGCTAAGGGCAGGAATGGGAACAGGGACACAGGTGTAAGGCTCTGTGGTGTCAGAACTGGGAAGGAGGATACTAAGGAAGGAAACTGGAATCATGCTTGCTGGAAGTTCACCCCAATAAACGTCGAATTGTTTGCACCTTTGGACTTTGGGTATTGTTGCTCTCTGTTCATGCGAGAAGGACCAGGGAAGTAAGTGGGTGAAGGAATAAGCCCCCTAACACAAACATCATATCCACCACAATCTCTCCACACCAAAAGGACAACTACACAGTCCCTGAAATCCAACTACCAAATAGTGATCAGAACAGCAGACAAAGAGCCACCATCATAGTCCTCAACTGTGATGACTACGTTAACGAGGCCAAGTGACAGCTCTCCGATATCAGCTACTATATAGAACTCAAAGACACCACCACCACATTTTATCTAGGAATTTAAGGATATCATCAAATCTTTCCCCAAACAACTCCAAGAGAAACGCTACAACCTCATCCCACATGAACTCCTCAGGGATCTTCTACGTGCTTCCCAAGGTGCACAGACAAGGAAACCCAGGCAGACCCATCGTATCTGGCCACAGCACTCTTATTGAATGAGTATTGGGACTCACAGAAACCATCCTCCAACCACTCACCACACGAAGGGCCAGCTTCGGCGAGGACACAATTGACTTCCTCCAGAAACTCCACAACATTAATAGCCTCCCTCAGAACACCATCTTTGCCATCATGAATGTCCCAGTCCTGTACATCAACATCCCTCACAATGATGGCATTGCTGCCTGTCTCAAATATTGACAAGATAATGAACAACCCAGAGATATCCACCCCAAACACATAGTCAAATTCCTCCATTTCATCCTCACCCATAACAATTTTACATTCAACAAAACTTTGTCCAAACCACGGGAACAGCCATGGGTACCAAGATGGCTCCCCAATATGCCAACCTCTTCATAGACCATCCTGAAGAAGAATTTCTGGACAAATGCACAATGAAACCAATGATATACCTGAGATATATCAATGATATTTTCATCCTCTGGACAGACAACCTAAATTCCCTTACAGATTTCCACCACAACTTCAACAACCACCCCGTCCATTAAACTCTCCCTAGAACACTCTCACACTAGCATTTGCTTCCTAGACACCACAATCACCTTCAACAGTAGAACCCTACAGACAACTATGTACAAGAAACCCAGAGTATCACCACACCTACCTTCACAGATCCAGTACCACCCTAAACACACCCAGAAATCTGTTATCTACAGCCAGGCACTCAGATACCACAGAATATGGTCCGAGGAGAAAGTTAAAAATCTTAACACACTTCAAACCATCTTCACCAAACAAGGACTCTCCACCAAAGAAGTAGATCGCATAATGGAATGGGACACGAAAATACACCAAGAAAACCTGCTTCAATACAGAAATAAAACCCCCCTCCAAGCACAGACCTCTAGTTGTCACCTACTACCCATACTGGAACCCACAGGAAGTATCATAGAATCACAGAATATCAGGGTTGGAAGGGACCTCAGGAGGTCATCTAATCCAACCCCCTGCTCAAAACAGGACCAATCCCCAACTAAATCATCCCAGCCAGGGCTTTGTCAAGCCTGATCTTAAAAACATCTAAGGAAGGAAATTCCACCACCTCCCTAGGTAACCCCATTGCAGTGTTTCACTACCCTCCTAGTGAAAAAGTTTTTCCTAATATCCAACCTAAACCTCCCCCACTGCAACTTGAGACCATTACTCCTCATTCTGTAATCTGGTACCACTGAGAACAGTCTATAACCATCCTCTTTGGAACCCCCTTTCAGGTAGTTGAAAGCAGTTATCAAATCCATCCTCACTCTTCTCTTCTGCAGACTAAATAATCCCAGTTCCCTCAGCCTCTCCTCATAAGTCATATGCTCCAGCCCCCTAATCATTTTTGTTGCCCTTCACTGGACTCTTTCCAATTTTTCCAAATCCTTCTTATAGTGTGGGGCCCAAAACTGGACACAGCACTCCAGATGAGGCCTCACCAATGCTGAATAGAGGGGATTGATCACGTCCCTTGATCTGCTGGCAATGCTCCTACTTGTACAGCCCAAAATGCTGTTAGCCTTTTTGGCAACAAGGGCACACTGTTGACTCATATCCAGCTTCTCATCCACTGTAACCCCTAGGTCCTTTTCTGCAGAACTGCTGCCTAGCCGCTCGGTCCCCATTCTGTAGCAGTGCATGGGATTCTTCTGTCCTAAGTGCAGGACTCTGCACTTATGCTTGTTGAACCTCATCAGATTTCTTTTGGCCCAATCCTCTATTTTGTCTAAGTCCCTCTGTATCCTATCCCTGCCTTCCAGCACATCCTCCCAGTTTAGTGTCATCTACAAATTTGCTGAGGGTG